GGGATAGCGGTGGCTGTCGTGCAGGCAGCAGCCATCCCGGCGCTGGCACCCTCCTGCTCTGGGTGGTGCCTGAGGCGCCGGGCCCTGCCGCGCCCTGGGAATTCCCTGGGTGCCTGGCTGTGCCAGCGCCGCTCCCGCGTTGGTCCTTCCGCGGCTGTCCCGCGGGGAGCCCCGCGGGTCGCTCTTAGCGCGCTCGAAGTGACTGCCGCCGCTGCTGCTGCCCGGAGTAGCCGAGAACACGTTTGTCCGTGAGAAGAGCTGCATCCTGTTAAAGGAGACGGCAGAGCTTAAGGATGGAAACAAGCAGAGCGAGGGCACAACGTTCCCAGTGTTCGGCTGGCCTCCGGTCATCTCCATCCCAGTCTTCCCTGACCCTACGGAGTTGTGCCTCTTTACTGATTTCAGGGTCCGCTTTTCTCCTCGTCCTATGGGAACTTTTAGCATTGGAAATGCATCCTTTGGCAAATCGCTTTACGGCTCGATGACCTGTTATCTGAAGAGCAGCTTCCTTTTGTTGGTTTGAACCGAGCCCCTACAAACTTAATTTTATGTCTCCCAAATTCTTGATTGTTTTGGTTTATTTTTCCTAGCAATAAAGCATTGTGATTACGTATAAAATAAGTTATCAGAATAGGCACGTGAGAGAGGGAACGAAAATAGATTAATAGGTGGCGTTCAATACTTAATTGGAAATATGAGTATCTAAAAGTACGTTCAAAACTTCTGGAGATAAGGAAATGTTACAGATCTATTACAAAGCTGTGTATTTTTTTCCTGAGAAAAACTTGGAAGTCATTGACAGTTGCATGCAAGCATTCTGTGTTTTCATTCAAATGCCTATTTTTAAGTCCAGTTTTTCATGATTATACTGTAAAAAGGCATGGGTTTTTTTTTGCCCTTGCAGTTTGACCTGTAGAGGAAAATACTTTATCCTCATATTTTGGAAAGAAATGACAAATTTTTTTTTTTTTTTTTAACTCCTTTAGGGAAGTGGAGAACTTCATCAGCAGAACAGCTGCATTAACAAACAGATCTATCATTTACATTTAGTGACACAAAACTGCAAGGGAGGGATAGAATCAGTGTCACTGGGATAGAATCAGTGTTTGCTAGTTAGGAGTACAAAATTGAGGTAGGTTTCTTACTGAGCAGTCAAAACTTTATGCTTTACAATGTGTGCAGATGTCTGTACGAGGAGGTGACTTCTGAATTTTGAGGTTCGTATGTAAAGCAAGGTGAATTGTATGCAATGATAATACTTGCTTTCTTGTACTTCATTAAACTGGAGGACCAATTTAACTGGGTTTTGGAAGAATTAAGACCGTAGTTCACATACACATCAAACTGCTGTTACCCAACACTGCTGCCAAAAGAAACAACCCACCAAAAAAATGTTACTATTTATCTGGTTAAGTTCCTTAGCTTGATTCCCCCTGTGTGGCCTTACAAACAATTACGCTGACGCTAGTAGGTGGTGGGAGATAAGTGGACTGGCTGGTTTACACTGGTATAGCTTTGCTTCTGCTAAAAATTTATGTGAAAGTGCAGCTTTATTTTCCAAGACTGCTTAGTCCATATCCTGTTAGGCTGCAGTTGCCAGCACAATAATAGGTATCAAACACTTACAGCATCCCTTGTCTTAAACTTCTCAAAGCACTTTAGAAAGAAATACAGTTCTCTCAGTTTTGCACCTAAGGAAATCGGAGCACAAGCTGATTTTTTTTCCCCCTTGGTGGTGGACTCTAGGTCTCCCGATTTATGGTTTAAGTGTCCTGTTTAAATTAACCTTGATTTCTCTGAGAGGCGTTACGTTTGTTTATCTCAGCTACCCGTGGTGTAACCATAAAGTGAATATTGAAATACCAGATGAAATTATGGTAAAATACGTAGGTGCAAAACAACTGTCTTCTCCTGAGTTCCAGGACTTTGGGACTTGTTCAGAGGAATAACTCATGTAGGGACATTTCTTTCTTCTCTCGTTGGTATTTTTGTGACACAAGATCAGTACCAACTGTTTTATCTAGGTTACCCTGCCAATGGTGAACTAGTCATTACTCCTAATTTTGACTGAATTTGAACAAGTAATCTAGATTACTAAGCCTCTAAGATAGATATTTAGCCTTGTTGTCCTATGTTTTGGGATGAGTTTATGCTAGAGGTTTCACACTTTTCTGGAGGTGCTGATTCTCTTAAGTGTTATTAGCATATATCCTCACACTTGGGTATCCAACACGTGTGTTTTGAAGCATGTCTATTGGAAAGAAAAGGAACATCCATAGCAAAACGAAATTCTAGTAAAATGGTCTAAATGTAGTTACTCCCTTTTCTTTGGAAAAAGTGTTTTTGACAAAGTATTTTCCATGTGGTCTTAAATATGGCATGTTTTGAAAATGATTTTGAAAGTGTCCAAAATTAAATTACATTTTAATTGCTCTCATGATGTACTACTTGCTGAATCTAGATTTCTTAATACTCTGAGCAAAACTTCACTCTGTATTATTAAAATTCACTTACATGTCTGATGGTCTTTTCCTTACTCAGTGAGCACTGAAGAATTGTATGGTACTAGACTGCAGGAAAAACCTTTACTATAAGTACCGAATTACATTTGTTTGAAGTTTCAAACCTATCACAGGGCAAAGAAAGCTTGTGGGTGCAGTTATAGCACCTAAGATTTAGGTAGTTCTATTAGAGAAATTATATTATTTCTTAAGTGATTCTCCAAGGAGAATGGGATTAAGCGGATGTCTCTCGTGTTTCTTTTCGCGGTCCTTATTTATGTATTACTTCAAGCTTTCAGGTTTTCTTCATATGTGGGTAGCATGTGTATTTAATTGATATAATTTGTGCGTATATTAGAGGGTTCTTTTTTTCCTATTAACTTCTTGTCATATTCTTCCTCAATCACTGAATCATTAATTGGTTTATGACAGTGCAAATATTCTAGAAGTGAAACCTGGATGAAGAAAGAGCGACTTTTATGTAGACTGTGTAAAACTTAGACACCTGTTTAATTCATGTCTAATATGAGAAACACTTATCTACACACTACTTCTTCAAGAGACAAAAGGTGCTTGCAGACATCTGAATCCTCAAAAATAATCCTTCAGAAAACTAGGAATGCAAATTTGTAACACTTTGAGA